TGTGTAGAATTAAGCATGATGTATATTTTGTCGAATGTTTACCATTATTATCTGTTTTAGGAAATGGACTAATTGATATGTCATCTAATATGGAATGGACAGATATTGAGCAACATGTCAAACATGTGCAGATAGGTAAACAAAAATGGATTTGCTACATATGTACTCGAATAACACAAATGAGAACATAATAGAATAATGATGATGATATTAATAATGTCAGGATTATAAGCAAGTTGTTTGTTCCTTTTACGTCTTCTGTAATGAAGTCAAAACAGAAGATTGAATTCATTTATTTAAGTAGTATAACGAAGATTCAACGAGTAAAATTTTCTAATGTTCTGCTGGCATATCAAAGAATTCGACGTATTTAGAACACTTTCTGTCTTACTTGAGCAGATTTTATGATAAATTTGCTTTTCGAAATACTTTGAAAATATTTAATGGAATATTTACAGTGCTGGCCAAAAATCCAGGTACCCTCCCCCTGAACTGCATTTATTATAAGAGCTAGGCAGTTGAAATTTTGTGCGCATATACTCTACGATGAATGCCGAGTATCAATACGTGTAATGAGTTTCCTACACAGATTTGTTTACTTTGCAAACGTTGTTATTGTCACTTACAAGAAGAGACGAAACTACTGGTCTCAGAGAAACACTAGACCATAAACAGAAGTACTGTGTTAGTTTAATAAAATAACAGAAGTGTATAGTACTGAAAAACACTTATCGTTTGAATACGCCCATCTGTTAGTTACTTTGCGATTAATGATTTTTTCTATAGAACTATTATAATTCGTGATGAGCAGATAGACATTTTTCAAAAATTATTTATAACAAGAGATTTTTTTAGCTCTGATTGAAAACTCTAGATGGATCTTAATTCAAACACGTAAAATCTCAAATATTACTAGAAGAAAACATTTTGTCTTTGTTTTCAGGTGGAATTTACTCTCCAAGTGATTGTACACCTCGACAACATCTTGCTATTATAATTCCATTTCGTAATCGCGAATATCAACTTAAAATGCTCTTACGTCATCTTCATCCATTTTTACAACGACAAAAACGATCCTATAGAATATTTGTTGTTGAACAGGTTCATATTATTAATTAGGTTTTTTTTTACATTATTTAACACGTTCTTTTTTAATCATTATAGTTCGGTAATGGTACCTTTAACAAAGGTTTGATCATGAACGTGGCATTTAATCATGCATCAAAAATATCTGCACCAGTATTTAATTGTTTCATGTTTCATGATGTTGATCTTATTCCTGAAAATGACTATAATGTATATGAATGTGATCAACATGGACCACGACATCTAGCACCAGCAGTTGACGAATTGCGCTATTTGTAAGTTGAGCATATGAATGACTTTGTTCTTTTTTTCTTTTACAAAAAAAATCACAAAGATCAAAATAATTATTCAGTTACCTTTGTATCTAGATTATTTGAAGTAGATGCATGCCATCAACATTTTGAAGAATTCTAAAAGATACTAAATTACGATTTTGAAAAATTAAAAGATTCATTATGTTAGTTGCAATGTTTTATCTAGCTAAGTAGGCTCAAAACTTCTTAAATTCAATTCGATAGTTTATTGATCGAACTTGAATGCATGGATGTTTATCTAAGAGAATCAAACTGTATCGGCCTGCACAAGATCATATTCTCTAACTTTTGTGTTCGAAGTCTTGTACATTTATTTATCGGACATCCAGAATTATCTATTTAATATGTAGTTTTTGAGAAAAATAAATTCGCAACATGGTATTGAATTACTGAATATCGAATGCAGTAATGAATTATGTTTATAATTCAGTATAAACTAATGAAATTGAATAATGTTCAAATCTGAAATCATTTGTCATAAATAAGTTCAGAATTTTGAAGTAAATTATTTATTTAATATCAATGTCAGATGAATTCATTATTAAATTCTTTAAAGAAGTACAATGATCTTTCTTTCTTTCCTTCTTTTCAGCTTAATGTATAATGACTTAATCGGTGGTGTTCTTGCTGTGACAAAAGACCAATTCATGAAAGCAAATGGTTGGTCAAATTTATATTGGGGTTGGGGAGTAAGTATTTTATATGATTTATGCATCAAATCATGTTTTTTTTTTCTTCAAATACATTAGTTCGAAGATGATGGTCAGTATACCAAAAGAAAGGAAATATATCATTATATTTGTTTCATTTTTAGATATGAATCACAGGTTTGTAAATTATCATTTGTATTACTGCGCTTCCCTTTCAGTTTGTTAGATTACGTCATGCGGGTTATCGTGTTAGTCGACCACCAAATAGCATTGGCCGTTATAAAATGATTCGTCATGAAAAACAAGTACCTGCATCTAACAGGTATTTGATTTTTGTTTTTCAGTATCAATAATGTGTATTTATCTATCTAATTAAGATATGACGCACTAAGTAAATGGCTTCGTTATTCTTCTGATGGCATTCAACAACTTAACACACTAAATTATTCAATCATTAACATAGAGACACGATTATTGTACACTCATATCTTAGTCAATTTTACGCGTTCAGCTACAAAAACTATTGATCATTTGCTAGAAGCGTTGCCGAAAGTCGAATAAAATAGATTATTATGTTAATTTTTACTTTTCAGATAATTTAAGTTTAGTGGTAAAAAATATTAAAAGATATTGTATTCAGATAATAATCTTTTACTGACTATGATAGTAAGCTTGTCTTTTCTTTTTTTTCATTAGGTTTCATGAACAAAAGATACATTTGTAGATCGATCAAATACATTGATTTTGCATAACAATAATAATTGAATTATATATCTACATGTAAATATTGATTAGTAGTCATTATTCATTAGCTCATACAGTAAATATCTATATTAAATAAATAATTAATGAGCTGATTGTTACCTGATTCATAAAACGCCCACACCCTCTTAATAGACAAGTTTATAGAAATTGTTAATTTTACAATGTTCACAATCTGATCTAATTTTTGTATAGTTGTTAAGTATTTTTAATGCCTTCAGAAAATTCGTTTAAACTTTTTTGGCGAGATCCTGTTCTTGATAGATTTCCGAAAAATTTTATAATGTATTCATTACATTAAATATCCTTTGTAGATGTTGAAAAAACGTCTTAGTATACAAGTCGTCTTACTCCATTTGATACTGCAACTAACATTAACTTTTATTTCGTCTTTACACTGGTTTCTACTAGTAATTTCACTTATTGGTTATTCAATTCTACTATACAAACAATATTATCATCCTAATAATCCTTCTCTCTTCTGTAACCATTACTTCTCATCAATAATTTTTACTTTTATACACTTTATATTTATTCTTTCTTATAACAAAATTCTTCCATGGGAAATTGGTCTCGTCATAGTGTTCTTAATACTTATTCTTCATTATGCTCGACGGCTAGGTGCATCGATACTAAGATGGGACCTTGCTTGGTTAGTGAAATTTGTTTTTATTTTTAGCTTTTTTCGACTTCTAATATAATATCGTACAGGTTACCTCTGGGCTATCAACAAGAAAATGATTCCTCGATGTCAATAGTTGTGGTTAAATTTCTCGTATCGAGTTTGCTTCTCTTTGGATATACATGTCAATTGTGTCTAACAACAGTGTGTACGCCATCGATATATTTAAATTGGTTTCTCGTTGTTACTGATTGTCGTTATACCTACACATATTTACTGTATTTATTCTGCTTTTTCTTTGTTTCTATTCTATAAATTTATGTTAAATGTTTGTTTTTATAGTTCAAGTTATACATTCGCCGGTGGCGTTCTCATATCATTATCTTGGACAGTCATATCATTTCTTCATTTGGTTGTTCATCGATTCAGAATTTAAATACTAACAAAAGTCAAATTGTTTGAATCAGCAACTATATAACTAATAAGCAAACAACATTTATTAAAAGCAACTAACAAAACAAGAACAAACAATGAAGCTCAGTTTATTCAAAAGCAAAATCTAATTGGAATTCGTACCATACAGATTTCGAATTATTTTAGAATAATTTCAATTTTAAATTACTAAAATCAATTGTATTTTCACAAGTAATACAAATAAATCGTAAATTCTTCTTTCTATAAAAAAAGTTCCGATTATTTGATGTATAAAGATAAAATAGTAATGAATATAAATTTGAACAGTAATCCCAATATTTTTCGATCTGACTAGATATCTCGTTAGATGACATAAAACTTCTGCTTACATTGCAATACAAAATTGATGATTCCAGAAGTAGTGACTTCCGTAAAAGATTGATTTAAAATGGTGGCTCTGCTGAAAGAGAATGAAAAAGTAGAAGATAGTTGTGGCGATTATAGTTTTAGTCTAGCCAATAAGACTTACTAATTAATTTAGTTACACTCTCTGTCGAATTCATGAATAAATTAACATCAATTGTGGCAGTTATAGTGTCGAACAATTCAAAAATAAAGATTTGATACTCTTCAATGAGTGTTCAATATCGATCTGAATCACAAGGTTGACCATTTTTTCTGTTTATGTTGTTGATTGATGTCGATGTCAATCTTTCATATTGATTTTTCGTATGTTTGTCAATAGACGTAGCTGATTTTAAATAGAGAAAAATATTTGATCTTGCTTTTTTCTCTAATTTTTATCCATAAAAATGTCAAAAGTGAATGGAAAAATATGTATATTCTTCACAAAATAACATTCTGAAAAAATCATTGAAGATTCTGAAGTCCTCTTTTGCAAAAGCTGTATACATACATATTTCTTTGTCGAACGTGATGAAATGCAAAACCCATAACAAAAAAAACAATGATATCAAAAGAACGAAAAAACTAATTATTTTTTATTTTGTCTTCAAAAAAAAATGATTCATTCTTTATTCGTTTATAAAAAAAGTTTTGTTTTGCCCGCTTCTTGCTATTCATTTTCTGTAGTGTCATCTTTATTTATTTATTTTTCTTTCTTTTTTTGTCAAACTTGTGTACTGTTACACAATGTGGAAGACTCGATTTGAAGTGAACACATCTAATGATAATAATTTAACTCATCATCGTAATCTTTTGTCTTCATCTACAATAACAAATCATTATTATTCATGGCCATCATCAACAATAGCTCGTATTCGAGATGATTCACTAAATCGTGTTATTCGTCCATATCCATCATCATCAATACCAAACCTTGAAATTCTAACAGAAGAAGATGAAGATATTCCATGTTCAAATTTATTAAATAATGATCGAACACAGTCAGTATCTATAAGTTTACGTAAACGAAATTCTTATCAAAGTGTTCTACCAACAATAATTGAATCGAATGATCATGAAGTAATGATTGGTAGTCTATCAAATACAAATGTTGTAAATGTTACTATTAGCGAATCGATTCTTGATAGATCTAATAAATATATTATTAAATCCATACCGCAAGATTCATTTGTAGCAACAAATACAAATTATAATCAGGTTATGAATGTTGATATCGAAAGTAAAGAACGAACGTTAAATACAAATATGAATTATGACATGACCGAATGTACACTTGATAAACATCTTAATGAATTTTTACAACAAAAACCTCCAAAACTAAATAAAGTACGTGAAATGATGCTCGTTTTTGCTACATCTACTTTTCAATGAAGAAATATTTTCAACATTATTATTATTCTTTTGTTTCTTATAAATAATAATGAATAAATTTCTTATTTACTTTTGTTTTTTAACTATTAAATTTAATTTAGCTTACGTATTCATCAACAGATGTTGATAAAAACAATATTCTCTTACCAACTACATTTAAAGATATCAGTGCATTTTTTGAGACGAAAGCATTAGCAGCTACTACAATTCACACATTGGAACGAAAGAAAATAGTACGGGCGAAACGATCACTATCATTAAAGCGATGTATGCCTATAAATAAAAATCATTTACCAAAGTTAGAAATTATTACATCAGTTGAACCGGAGTCAACTATTTTTCATCATCAAATCAAACGAATAAAGAACACACCCAAATCTGAGTACGAATCTATTGTCGAACAAGAGTATACAGTTAGTGATAGTCTTGCAAAACGATCAATTAATTTCGATAGCAGTATCAAGAAAATTGAACACGAAGATCAATCAAAACAATTACCAATATTAATGAACAACATGTGTTTGAATCTTTCAAAACAACGATTGATTTTTTTATTACTTACTATTACTATATTTGTCTATTTATATTTATCTGACTTATCAAATGTGTATAAATATATTCTTGGATCGAATTCATTTGTTTATCTTCAAAATTATGCATTATATTTTTTTTCTCGGCAATCTAAAAAGCAAATTGATTTAATAGATAAAAATGTTATTTCTCAATATGGACAATTTGTACAAAATCGTTTTTTTTCATTACCTGACTTTCTTGTTCCATTCATTAGTAAAATATTTTTTCATATTGATAAATATGAATATAAAAATAGTATCATCTATGTAGTAACTTCAACCTATGAAAGCACATACGATTGGTTTATAAATTTGTTTAAATAAAAAAAAAACAAACATATTTAGATATGATTGAAAAACTTCATTAGTTTTGTCATTTTTAATGCGAACTTTTTCAGACAAATCAATTGGAGCTAAATTGAATATAAGAAGAAAAAACTAAACTTGTGTCTGATCTATTGAAAACAGTCGACATATTGTAGAAGACATATTTGATGTGAAGTATATCAATGTTAAAAAAAAGAAAAACAACGTGAAAACGTGATAGTATTCAAACTTGTAGGTGATGCATCAATCTTCAAAAAACAGTTACATATTACAAATATTTTTATATTTCGTCAATTCCATCAAACAAATAGTCTTCTGTTAAATAAATCTAAGAAGTTACTGTTTAGAGGATTGAGTATAAGTGAAAGCTATCTATTACAGTTTCACATCTCTGAATATGAGAATCAAATCATTACTTTCAAAAAACAATAAAGATTTTCAGTTCCTGCAATATGTTTCATCTTTCGTTTTCCTTGTAAACTCATCTTTGATGATATTCATTGCTCTACATTTCAAAAATGATCAAATTCTTCAATTCATGTTTCTCCTTCGAATAAATTATTTATATTAAATAGAGAACATTCGTCTAATAGTATGAAGACAGAAAACTTCTTTATCTAATTAATGAGAAATGTCATAATATACATAATTCGGTTATCGAACTTCAAAATACAGGTGTTAGGAAATTTACCTAATGGAATTCGCGGTACCGTTATGCCGCTAAATTAACAATATAGAATAATTTTGATGTAATGAGATAGATAACCAAGTTGATATTCATATATTTCTAGAATTCAAAATATAAAGACAAGAATGTGGGTATAAATCTTATCTTGATTCTTCACTTCTCAAAACCCATATACCCATGTCAAATTCACTAAAAATGCTCAACTCTATAGATATATGTATATCGAGTTGGATATCTGCTTCGCTGAATATCGTGGCTTAGAATCCAGTGTATGAATATCATGAGATCACTTTTCGAGTCAGAATAAACAAAGCTAGATGATGAAAGAAGCAGATGATGGATAGAACCACGACATTTTCTTCATGGACGTTCGACAAACACAAAGTTCAAGGCACAAATTTAAGCCAGTGAGCACCATATTGTTCATTGTGTGCAACAGTTCGCTTCTCTATCTCATCAGCTTATCTATATCAGAGAAAATATGAAGAACAGATAAAAGTAGAGGAAACAAACGGATGAATTACATTTCTTTTTTTGATTTATTAATTTTTTCATTTACTCACCGTCGTATAGCAGATAAATTCTACTGTAGTACTACATTTTTCTCTTTCAGAATTGGCTTACACAGATATATAAGTCAAATAACTAAGATTTATAGATTGCTTTGACTGTTCATCTAATATTGTCATCACATTTAATAGTCATGGATCCTCTATTTCTCGATCAAATGAATGGCATGTTCTTTTTTACCCTCTTTCTTTCCTGTTCTATATCTCATGTTTTTTTTTGTATTTTATCGAGTGAGGATAGAAGTTAAGGATGCTTTGATTGCACACTTATCAGTTTCTTAGCTAAATTTCAACAAATAAAATTTGATGTAATTTTCTTTCTATGGGACGCTTTTGATGCCACTTTTATCGAATAATGGATCCAAGTAGTGGCGTCTCTAGGGAAGGCGGGAGAGGGCGCCGTCCTTCCACTAGCGAAAAGATAAACTTTTTGATTACCTTGAAACTTTTCATTGTCTTTCTTGACTATTTAGCAACCCTGAAAATTAAATTAGCAAGTGGCACCATAGGATCAAGTTGTGAAACATCAATGGTCGAGCAATATCTGTTGTTTGTGTACTTTATGTTTATCCATGGAGGTGGCTTTTATGAAGAGCTTTGCACAAACCAAAACTCTATACTTTTGAAATGGATCAAATTCTAAATAGTGACATATCTAGGTGTGGACTACGGTGAGCACTCTTCCATCCACTGAGACTCTATGTTGTACCACTAACAAAACGAACAAGTTAATAGATATCTTGAATTTTTTATCGATTTCTTGTCTATTGAATATCTCTAGAAGTTCAGTTAGCAAGTAATACAGAGAAGGGACTAGCTGGTTTCAACAGCAGAGACTTCAATTTTTCATGATGTTTCAAAAGACTTCTACAGATTTCGGGATTCCATGAGCATTCACTACATCTAGAAATCCCATGAAACTTCTATATGTGTACAATTTAGCTTGAAGTAAAATCAAATTAAATTTATTACTTAGCATTCAATTCACTTGAAATTATCTAATCAAGTGGTAGTACTGAGGCGAATGCGATTTTGTTTAGATTTTCTCTTAAGGAGAAGGATATTTTTCGAAAATAACGAATTTTTGAAAAGCTCCACCAAAGGTTTTAAGGTCAAGGAATATGAATCGCTAATTGGTTTCACACACTTTTGAGACACTGATTAGAGATTTACATTCCTCGACCTCGTAAGTCTTCAACCAAACCAAAGAATGTTATGTTCGTTAAAAATCCTTCACCTGGTAGAAAAGTCAAATCCATCAATTTTGAGAAACCGATTACAGTTTTAGGTTTCTTAACCTCGAAAACCTTTAATCCAACGTCTGACGGAAGAATTAAACTCACAAATAATATAGTAAAGAGAAATATTGCAGTTTAATGGAAAACCTTCTACAATAGAAATTTTCGACCTTGTAGTTCATTTTGTACGGTCATCATCAGCTATATAGCATATTATTTTGAACCGTAAGGGTGTACATGTAATCTATACAGTTGTTTTTTTTATCTACACTCTACAACCATATCGACCTACATCCGCACCTCACTCCACCCTCGACTTCGGTATTTCATCGCGCATTCCATAGTTTCTAAAGGAGGTTCACTGTAGCGAACTGCTGCTTTTTTGTTTGAAAGAACATGTGGAAGCTGCAGTATTTGATACGATTGGTTTTATGAATGAAGCTTTCTGTATTATTATATAAAAAAGCACTTCTATAAATAGATGACCATTTTTTGAGAATTTTTCAAGTCTTTGAACTTGTTGCCTTTTCTTCACTATCATTTTTCTAAATAAAATTGAGAAAAAAAATCATTTTATAATGAATAACCACAAGAAAAATACATCTGACTGAGAACACAAATTATGAATTAATGTCCCCAAAAAAGAAATGTTCAATATCGATAATGATGTCGAGGATAAATTAGATCATGAAAAAACTTTGAATCAATTGAAGCTAGAAAATTAAAATAATACAATATGAGTAACTATTACAAAAAAAACAAGAATATTCATACGTGAACTTTTTCTTTTTCTTTTCATTGGTAATGAATCCACTAATATTCGTTTAGTTGTACAACCAAGAACTAATGAAAAATAAATCTATAAAATAAAAGTCAATTTTCAAAAATTATAACATACAATTTCGATCAGTTCTTGAAAGATCAATATTCATTTCTAGATTTTGTTCATCTTCATTATTGAGTAAACCAGCTGGAACTTCAGCTAAAGTTGTACCTAAAATCAAAAATAATCATAAGTAAAAAAAAAAAAATGTTTTAATCTTACGTTTCTTAAACATAGTTATTTCTTTTTTATATAATTCATTACGTGGTAAAATTTCAAGTGATGAAACTATTGTTGATTGTTCATTATTAATATTTTCAAATGGATTAGCAAACATAGAAATCGTTCGAAGAAGTGTATCACGTTTTTGTTCACTAATTAATGGTTGTCGAGTTCCATTCATATCATCCGACATACGAACAACCATTTGTGAAAGTGATTCAGCAAACCATGGTTGAAGAATACGTACTAATCGTATAAATATTGAACAAAGATCAAGTTTAGTTGATGATTGTTCAATTAAATAAAAAATCCAACCAATTCTTTGTCGATCAATTATTGAAAAATCATTTGATGATAATCGATAATAATCAGTTATAAAATTTAATATTTTATCAATAATTAATGAAATAAGATTATTATCATTAAGAATTAATTGAATAATAGGTTTCCAGAATTGAATTACACATGCTGGAAGAAGATCAGATGACTCTGTAAATGAAATATACATTAGAAAAATTTGAAGTTTTTCTTTTTTTTTTTTTCTATATTCATTTACCTGAA